CTTCCCACATAATTGAGTATTTTGCCATCCACAGCGTTCCAATCATTTAGGCGTATTTCAAAAACAAAATATCGTTGGGAGATTATCCCTTATCATAATCAAACGCAACCATCGGAGTGTTCATCATTTTCTTCTAAGTGTGACGATTGTGAGCAGGATCTGTTGAATAATGTAAGAGATGTGAACACAGACAATCGAAACACATTGTACGAAAATCAATTGCACTCGTAAAAGATGGTAATCAAACATTAAAAGAAGCGTTTAACTTAATTAATCAATGCTTTTATTCATCAAATAGCATGCTATATTTATAACACATCATTTAATGAATGATTTCATGGCATTTTACGGCGAAATCAACCTCGAATCGCATCAAGTTTATCACTAGCAGTTTGCAGCATTTGTAGATATCTCATTCTATTATACATTCAATAATAATGAACTTTTACGACACAGTGTCAATGAATGATCAATGTATTTTATTCAGAAGTTTTCGATTCCTGAGACGTTCCATTTTGTCATAGCGGAGTTATAGCCTCGAGTGTATCTATTTCGGCGTTTGCGTGACTTTTTTTTGGATTGCTTAGTGCATTTGCACTTAATCTGAATCACAATTTTCAAATTAAAATTGCTTGATATTCAACTTGTTCTTCAATGACCAAATATAGGGTATCATTATGGCTCAGGAGCAGGTGAATCGCATGCTCTTCAAACCTATGTGACTGAGCCCTATGCCGTTCAGACAGATCAAAAATCCTGTTTGTGCAATCTGGCATCTCTAAACCTAACCGTAAGTTTGCATCAGTGTGATCATGAAATTTCTTTCAATTTAATAGGTCTTATCATCAGAATAAAGCAAGAAATGCTGATGATCGAATCATGTGCTCAGATTAACTGCATAGCTGAAATCAAACAGATCTATGCAAGTTTTCATGTTTTTTTATTCTTTGTGCTCGATTTTGATCAAGCGTGTGTGGTGGGGTTTGGAGTGAGGTTATGAGAAATCTACGAATGTACGAGGAGAATTTTATGAGGGAGAATCGTTCGCAACAATCCTCAGTGATCTTTTCGTAGTTCGCCAAAATGAAAACGAAGACATGAATGCTGAAAACTGAAATGATAATTCTAGAATCATTTTATTGGGAGGTTTTTATTTTGAAGAGGTATTAAACTGATGATATTACCACTGGAGGCAGCTGCTTTTTCAGCCAGAAGGCGATACATTTTCGAAGTATTCGCCGTTTGTTCAACACCTTCTCCGATTTCATATGCCTTAAATTTGATTCCATGAATTCTTGAGAATATTGATAAGTTAAACGAAACATCATTTTCAATAGCTGCACTGATAAAGAATAGTTCCAAATATATATAGTCTATTGCATTTGCCATCTCAAACGACCAATCAAATATAAAATTTTGATAAAGCTGTTAATGAAGTTTAATGAAGGGCTTCAAATTTTTGTATCCGACTGGAATGGTCTCATAAACGGGAACAGTCTGGAAGGATGTATTCATTGAGGGATGAGACTTTTACTAACCACTGAGCAAATTCAATAAATTCAAGTGTCTAAACAGATGGATCGTTTCGAAAAATTTTTTTGAGAAGACTTCAGCTGGATAGAAAACTCGAATCCTTACGACAATTTCTCAAACACTCAGTGGAATGAACAGCAAAATAGTTCCATTCAAAAGCCAACTTCATTTAGTGCTGCATCGAACTCAACATGATCATCAGCTGATTGCGGGCGTGGTGGGTCACCGTCCAACTCGTGAACCTGTACAACAATAAACAGTGTAAGAGACTAGACCAGTAAGTGATTGAAAATGATTCAACCAATGGGATCTTGTTTGAGGTTGGTCGCCACCTGTGGTGTAGCCAACGGTATGTCCCCCTCCTAGTTCCACTTGGAGGATGGAAGAAAGGGAAAAAGAACAGAGAAAGAGAAGGGAGAAGAAAGTAAGAAGCAAAAAGGAAAATAAATTGAAAGGTGGAGGGAGAAAGAAGAGTAAATAACTGTGGAAAAATTAATCCCAAAATTCAGCTATTTCTAGGACCAGACCATTTTGCGCCCCTCTCCCCCTCCAAGAGACAGTCCCGGCTGCGCCACCGATTTTAGCGATGGTGATACTTTATGAATTCAAAAACTATGAACGAGTTCTAACAAAACAGTTAAAAATTCATTCGGAAGGATGAACATCAATTAATCGCATCAATTATCAGCAATCAACAACCAACATCAGTGAACTGTGGTCGATGTGGAATGATAAGTGGTCCTTTGAATTTGAACGCAGCTGCATCATAGTTCTCTGGTAGATATTTATCGCGTTGGCTTGGACGAGGCTCAGCTTTTTTGGCGTTTTCAACGAGACTCGCTGGTACTGACTCTTCACTATCATCGTCATTTTCGCTTTCTAAACTGATTTTCATTATTCTAACGCATCGACCTGGTGAGAAACTGAAGTTTGGCCGAATGTAGCTATTCAATTTTTCGACTTCTCGGAAAACCATCAATCGCAGTGTTCTAATTTCTTCATCAATGTGCTCAACAGTTTGATTGTGATCGCTAAAATCATTGGTTTATTGCTCCAGATGGAACAACATTCAATATTGTAACGTCACTCCAAAATGATCGCCAAACGGATTTGACACTTACCAGATTTTCGACAGAAACAGAAATAGACGAATGCAAAAGCTATCAGTGTAAACACTGCAACGGTTATTGGTACTGTGATTGATATGATTGTCATATAGCTGTAATATCCATTCAGTCATTAAAGAATCTGTCTAATGCAGTGTTGTTCATGTTCTCCCTCTTTATGCCCCCTCCCATTAACCTTATATCAGGGTTTTTCGACCTGGTATCCATGGACCCCTGGGGGTCCAAGACAAAAAATATACAAAAGATAGCCAATACTAATTTGTAAACCTCCTCAATTACCCTTGAAGTTCTTAAATATCTTCCCTCCTTCTTTGCCTCTTTCCCTCACCCTCCTTCCGGAAAACTTCCTCCTTGTTAGAAACAGTGATACATTTCAAAACCAAATTTGAACAAATTTTTGCTTGAATACGCGTAAAGAAGAGAGATTGAGAGTGGGACGGAATCTCTTAACGAAATGTATTCATTTTCCTCAATTCGGTTACAAATGTGAAAGGATAGATCATTACATCCAACGTTTTTAATAGCAATCATATCAGCAAAATTATTAGCTGTAACTGTTGTCACTATCAGCGTACTTGAATCCATCGGAATTGGGTAAACGCCTTTCTGAAGATTGCTTTGTGGAATGTTTCGCCTTCCATTGCTCCAGCCAGTCGCTATATCTCAGAGTCATTGGTAGACTGATAACGCAGAGTGGGTTTGTACTATCTGATTTGTGGATTAGTAACTTATTGTGACTGAAATTGGAACAGGAATTCATTAACGAACGCTGAATTCAATGAAAAATTCATAACGCTTCTTCTAGTTTTCATGCTTTCCTCGTTGACATGAAGTGCAAATATCGCCGAAACATCGTTGGATAGTAATCGACTGAAGTTTTCGGCTGAAGTAAACTCATAAGAACGTTGTCGTAAAATTGCATTTTGATGAATTTTTTCGCATAAACTGAGTCTAAAAAAATTAAGAATTGTTGATAAGGGAGAAAGACTTGTTTATTATTGCATTGATTTTTGACTATCATTACAAATCACTCGTTAAAACTACTCGAAAGACACTAACCCTAAAGTACATTCCAAATAAAGCAATGAAAGGTTTGCATTTGCATAAACAAATCGTGAATGCTTTATTGATGTTCTGAAGATGGGTTCCATTGGTTTGACCGAATTGAGTTCGCTAATTTTCAATGCATAAACATTTTGATCTTGTCGATAGTAAAGATATGCACCATTAGAAGTTAACTGCAATGGAGATGACTGCTTCATTCAGCCTCAATGGTACGCAAGGTTTTTTTCGATATTTATCAAAGCACTCGGTCATAAAATACCCATTAACAACGGCAGCTCAACGTTGTAACACTTCTTTTGCTGATTGACTGAAACTTTTGAATGTCTCGTAAGAAACTTTTTCTCGGCACTAATCATTAGGCCACAAATTGCAATTGTCCCTGTCAGAGGCGGGCGGGTATAGTTTCATTAATTATCCTTAGCTACCTTCTTCAATCTCCATGAATGGATTAACGATATGAAAAAATCTGAGAGCTTTAACGAGAGTAATACTAGCCGTACTCTCCCAAAGGCTCGCTATTTTGCCAGAGATTTTAAAAAATTTATCCACCCCAAATTTGGTTGCAGAGCAATATGATGAAAGTCAAACATAGTTGGTTAGAAGTGCTATGGAATGAGCTATAAAAACTGCATTACAGCAGCAGAGAGGGGCGATTGATGGCAATACCGCTGACTGACGTTTCGAATGATAACCATTCGAGCAGTGCAATTCACGAACAAACTAGACAACGCCAGACTATCACTGTCCTACCGAACAATTTCGGAAATGGTCACTGGAGACAACAAATGCCGCAGCATGAGTTTGGAACAATACGTCAAACTGTAACAGCAGTAGTCGTTTTTGATTATGTTATTCATAAACGAAATAAACGGTTCGAGCAGAATCAATTGAACGTTTCCTACAATAAAATCATCGAGAGATCCTGGATGATTGCTCTGTACGCATAGATTTGCGTGTGTTGTACAATCGACTATATGGAAGAGGTCATTCTTCTCATCGTGAATAATCCACACATTTTGCGCGATTGATTGATTTTTGATGTCGACTTTTTCAGCTGAAATCAATCATCACACTGCAGCACCACCTAACAGGAAGGGAATGCTTCACATTTCCTGTGTAGGAAGAACAATCCTCAATTCACAGGAAATGCAGATATATAAGCTTAAAGCAGGATTTATTGGGCACGGTTTCAACAATAATGCACCTGACCATAAGATTGCAGGTTCGACCTCTGCCTGGGTCATAAGTTTTGCTTTAGTT